CAGGGGAAGGAAATTCTTGAACGAGCGCATCTTTTACATATTCCGTGTATTTTGACGGTAAAAATATAATAAAATATTAATTTTAGGGTCAAGGACCAAATTGATCACAATTTATGATACATAAAGGACCATTTCCATCAAGTCCATACATTAAGGATCATTTTGATCATTTTCTCCAAATTCTTATATATAGTGTTTTGCAGTTGAGTATCGGTGTGGGAAAATGAGTACGCTTCTGGTGAGAAGGGAACACAACTTTCATAAGTGTGAGAGTTTTATCTTGAGAATTAAAAATGGATTGTAAGAAAAGAAGAACAAGCAAGAAGACACAAGAAGCTATTGGTAATGTCATTTTTGTTTCTCAATTTGTTGTTTTTGAAGGTTAGAATATGAGGAAGTTTGGAATTTTGAGTTCAATTTTATAAGCTGAAATTTAATGATGAATTGATGGTTGCTTGGACTTGAATGTATAGTGGAAAAGTAGGGAGCAAAATGATACATAAATTATCGATGACAATGTCTTTAGTAAAGTAACTATAGTTAACATTATTTTGAAATGTCCTATCGAAAAGTTTAAATCGTAAAAAAGGTGATACATGTACAAAGATCTAAATCTTTTACTGGTTCGAGACCAATTATTTGCACAAGTACCTCATATAAAAACTTGTTGATAAGTGATACGACTACCAAATAGAAAATAGGTATAACTATCACTCCCAAATAACATTGATTGTGTTATGTGGTGTTGGTGAAAATTACAATATTACAGGATTACAATTGATATTAAATGAAGAAATAAAAATATCTTTAGGCTGATTCAAGCCCATTGCAGCAAATATTTTCACCGGTTCAGCAGTAGTTCTCTTGACTTGTTCCCTTCATGATACAACAGACTAATCACTAACTCAACAAACTCTGGACAAGAGTTGAGTCCAAAGCTCCACAAAAAGAACACCTCCATTAAACTAATAAGAACTCTTTTTTTTTTTACTAACTTGTATGCACTCTATTTTCTTGTTTTCCCAAAGCAAATGAAGATCGTCACTATTTATAGTTGAGAAAGTCTTCCTAGCAATAAATAAGAAGATAATAGGATAGTAAATAGCGAAAATAAATGACCTAGAAGTTACATAAGTTATAAGGAATAATGGGGAATAAAGAGTGAAATAATGTTTGATAACCAATGTCAACAACGGACAACAAATATGCTGCCCATGATCAGTCCACCAACGTTCTCAGCAACGTTTTATTTCCACCAAAATAATGAGCAATTAAGCCCAAAATGAAATGCACATAAAGAGAGGATAGTAATAGTAACGCCACATATGTCACTTAAAACAATATGTAAGAAACTGCCACTAACAGATACACAGTGGCTATGCAAATGACGGATTTTATTAAATTAAAATGCTAAATAACCAACATGTGGTACATAAGATTTGCTGCAATTAGTTTACCGAGAAAGAAGATGACAAGTAGACATGATTTATTTTCCTCAAAAAAGGTAAATGTTTGCTTAGACTATACACAAACTTCTAATTGACCTTGCCTTGGAGTTATTTTGACTTTTAATCTTTGTCTTTTCTTAGTCCTCTATATCAATACTAGTGAAAGTCAAGTGAGATTATTATGGAAAGCACATTCAACATCTAGTCAACAATGTTATAGCACATATATAGAGTAAAATAAAATGAGGAAAGTATTTAAAACATTATCTCAAAAATCATACGTGGCGCCACCACAAATTAGAATTCTTTTTTTAATTTATATATTTACAAAACTAGCCTTCCTCTTTCATGAAAAGTTGCGACTTTAATGAAAAATTGTGATTTTTATATAAAGTTGCAACTTATATGAACAGTTGTAACTTTAATGAAAAATTGTGATTTTTATATAAAGTTGCGACTTATATGAACAGTTGTGACTTTAATGAAAAGTTGTGATTTTTATATAAAGTTGCAACTTTTATGACTTTCCGAAGGGTTGTAACTTTTCCGAAGGGTTGTAACTTTTCCAAAGAGTTGTGACATTTCCGATAAGGCAGAATAAACATTTGTTCACACTACCCTTTGTTGTCTAGCTATAAATAGAGGGATTTCCTCTCATTTTAAAACAACGAAAATTCTGAACTTCTTCTTCTTAATCTGCACAATTAAATATTCGTGTACAATTTTTTCCTTTCTGTTTCATCCTATTGTTACAGATCCTGGTATATTTTTTTACAGTCAGTAATTTATGCTTATGTTATTAATTGTTGTTTTTTAGTACATGTTTTAAACTTTGTTGTTCATGTTTCTGCAAAGTTATTGTTATAAGTATTTGTTAGTACAGATTAAACAACACACGTTAATTGAGTATTCACACAAGTTTTCTCTACTGATCATAAAATTGTTGAAGGTACGGTAAAAAAATTCCTTAAAGATCTATACTATTATTTGTCATTATCACATATAACTCAAGAACATCTAATGAATGAATTATTCAGGAAATAATAAATCATTGGTTCTTTAATCAACATTAAAAGGAAATAAAGGAATAAAATAAGAATATATATACACAAAGGCATTTCGTAAGAACAAGAACACATTTAAGTTGCATAGATTTTACAATTGTGATATATGTCTTAGGAAAAAATTCAAAATTTGTTAACATATTCAAAAAAGAAATTACTTACATTATTAATGTTTGTTATATGTAAGATAATATAGTGTTTTAGTTTTAATGACTCATAGATTTTAAGTATTATTTTATAAATTCAGTGATACTAACTTCCTGCGCAAAGCATGGGTGATTTTACTAGTAAAAATAAAAATAATATAGGGATATTCATGGAATAGTGACAACCTTGAAACGGTATAACAATTAATGTCTCAAAAATATGATGATATAAAAGCATGGTTATATTTCAAAACAATAACCTTCCTCACACATTAACATTTCGAAACCTCAAATGGATTCAATCAAGTTTCTATTTGTCACTCTCTTAATCATGTTTCTTCCTGTTCCCTCTCAAGCCACAGGTAGTTTGTCTTCTTGTTTTTCTCTATTAAAAAAAAAATGTTCTTTTATGTTATATATATATATATAATCTTTTAAGTTTAGAGAATCTTAGTAACCCAGTCGATTTGGTTGAATTTTTACTTTGTTTTGTGAGGGTTCAATTTTCTATATTGTAAATTGTAATCCCCTACCCCATTTTGAAGGGAGGGGGGGGGGGGGAATCTTTTGAGTTTTTACTTAAAAAATGATTTATTTATTTACATCTTTTTATTTTTTTTATTTTTTTAGGTGATGTTGAAATCAATGATGATACTTCTTCGGATTGTGTTTTCACTATCGATTGCAAGACCAGGTCGGATTGTGTTGGCCCGTGTAGAAAACTTGGGATTTTGGTTGGGTTGTGCGTTCCGGATCCACACCCGGGTGGGAAACTTGTTTGTTGCTGTTTTAATGGTAAAAATTAGAGACGGACAAAATTTCAAATTAAGGAATTTTTTGTTATGTTAATGCTGCTTCATTTTATCCTAAATTGTTCTGATTCCTCGTAGTTTGTTGTTCATTTTCTTGTATTGTGGTTTTTAAATATGGAATAATATTGTGTTAATTGCTTGTTTAAAAAAATTGTATTGAATTAAACATCGTCACATAAATTAAAATGGAGGGAGTAATTACAAAGGCAGGGTTTAAAGTAAAGGTTCTTTGATCTAATCAAAGATTATATTGCAAAAGCGAAAAACTAAAAAAGAAGAAACAAGGAACAAAGTATTTTAAGTTTGTTTGTATTAAAAATAGATTGAGTGAGTGGTTACAGCAATGAACCGTCCAGTACTCAGCTAAGCAAAATCCATTATTATTGTATATTTATCCACTTGTATGCCTCGTTTACTTTATTCCCTTTTCGCATTAGCTTCCAAACACATAGTAATAACATATATTATTATACATAACTCATTCAATAAAAAGAAATTTTACTTTGTCAACTAATTTGTTGATGATGGAATAGTTACTCATATAGCACCAAAAAAATCCTTGATGGAGTTTTCCAAGTTGATAAATAATTTGAATTCAAACAATCAGGAGCGGATTTAGGGGTCGCGATCTAAATCGCACTGCAAAAAAATTATACAGTATATTGGAGATACATTTTACTTTTTCTTATACAGAGAGATCCATTAGAAAAGGAAATATTCATCATTGGTGGACAAACAGATGAGGCGAAACTAGCTACTGATAAACATTAGAAAAACCATCTAGTTTGTTAGCAGGTGTAGTGTCGTTGAGCCTAACTCAATCCCAAAAATTAGCTCATCAGCATATATTCCTATATTCAAATTCTAAACTTCTATGCAATGCTTCTTTATCAACCTATAACTTTTTCAAACAACCCCTTTAATCTTCAAATCAACTATTATAACTCTAATACTATCTTCAACCATTACTTGGTGATAATATATTTCTATACAACTATCACAACATTGAAGAATCAAAATTTAAACATTGAAAATGTAACACATAACACAGAGTAGGAAAAAGGGGGTAAAATTGGGGTGAGACGAGGAGGAACTTTGAAGGTGCAAAAAACTTGACCCGGTTCCAATCGGTCAACCCAGATGCCTCTGAGCGAATAGTACTCATAGAACGGTGCCGAGCTGGTGAAGAGGAAAGGCACGAGACGAAACCCGGACCGATTCTCCCTGGGTTAATTCAAGAAAAGCTTTTGCTTTCCTCGAATTTAGTTTGAATACGAAACTAATAATTAACTTGTGTCAAGTATAAAGATGTTAAGAGTGAGAGATTTTGAATAGCCTCAATGGTTTAAAGGTTCAAGTTACTCGAGATTTGAAGTTCAATTTTCAATCATTATACCTTTATTTTTGGAATCCCTTAACTAAAAATCAGTGATTAATGAAAACAATTCATATACTGTCAAGTCCCACATCAATCGGAGGGATATATATTGGCATATGGAGAGACAATTTTTTAGCAAAAGAAAATGTTAATTGCAGAAAACAGATTTCCATTAAATTTGGATCTGCATAATACACCAAAAGATAAGAGGAAGAGAAATCCTTAATATACATTCTATTAATCTACAAATTAAAACAAAATAAACTTTAATTCAATTCATCCATAGCCGCCACAAGATTCAATTGGACCTGAGCTCCTAATTTGTCTTGTCAACAACATTGTTCATCGACTTTAGATTCCTCCATAAATATTTCCCACTTGCCATATCCACAAAAACCCAAAATCCGTTTTGAATCTTCTGAAACTTGTGAAATTTCACCTCACCAGAATCAGATTCTCGTCTCTCTTCCTCTGATTTGCTTTTCGTTGTTTCATCCTCGGGAATTGCGAAATCCAGATCATCGGAAGAACGAACCGTTCTCCAAGCTAAATAACCGGCCAACAATGCCGAAAAAAACACCAAGATGAATCTTAAAGGACACATTACGATGATGAAATTTCTGCTTTCCCCAAAAAAAAATGATAAATATTTGGGTATTGGGGTCTTTCTTATATAAAGTAATGTGTCCAGAACGCGTTCCTAATCCTCATGGAACAAGGAAAAAGTAAAAGGGGCAGGAGGAGTTGTTGGCTGACTTTTAAGACTAGGTATATTTGCAGTTTAGTCCCTAAAATACTAACAAATTAAAAAGTTTGCCTTTCTACTATAGGACTAGGAAAACTTGACCTCTTATTAATAGAATTGTGCACTTTTGATCCCATTCTTTTGTCAATGTTTTACAAATTTAATGAATTATATATTGCTCTCTTTGTTTAAATTTATGACATTGTTTAAATTTAAAAAGTACATCTTTTTTTATTTTGATTGTGAATTATTCGAATATGGAATATTTAAGTTCTTTAAAATTAATTTTAGGAAAAACTACTTAATTACACAAATATTCATGTATTATCTACTAATTTAATATATATTTTAAAATAATTGCTTATTATTGCATTATTTAATAATTGCTTATTATGGCAAGGTCTGCGTACACTTTACTCTCCCCAGACCCCACCTAGTGGGATTTCACTGGATATGTTGTTGTTGTTGTATTGCATTATTTAATAATTTTATACCAAATTTGAAATAAGTACATTGAAATATATCACTCTTTAAAAAGAGGGGAGGGTAAAATAGAGCCCGTATGCATCTACCCACCTAATCACACCCCCTAAATTACGCCTCCGGCTCCCTCTTCCTTCCTCCCACGTTCGTCACCGCAATCTCTCTCCCCATTCTCCTTCCCATGTTCTTCTTTAGTTGCTCAACATTGTTTGAATAAAAATGAAGTACTACATATCTGAATTTTGAGATTTGAAATGATTCATCCATTAACTAAGTCATGTATTCAATAGGTGTTTTCTTCTAATTTTGAATAGGATACCAAGTTTTTTCTTGAAAATTCATTGGTTTAGTATTTTGATAAGCTATTTTGATGATTAAATTTTTTTGTCGTATCATAAATGTGTTTTATGTATCTGATACATGATGTCATTATATCAGATACATAAAATATGTATTTAATAATATTATTGTCATTATATCAAATACATGAAGTATCTTATTCATATTATCACTATAATAGGTAAATGAAATATGTATATGATACATGATAATTTTTATCGACTTTTAAAGATTGTTTGTTGTATTTAGATAAAGGCTTTATCAAATTCATTGTATGTAGTGAATGATGGTGGAAGATAATGCAAAATAAAGGAACAAATTTAGATTTTGAAATTTTATTTGAATCATGGAAATGTTTGACATTATGAATTGTTAGACACGTGATTTACTACTAAATTGGGTGCGTTTTAAGTTACATTCCAATTTTAGATATACAAAGATAGATATATCTACTTTGCATGTATCTGAAATATATGTATGTGGATGCACCAAATATGGTACGAAAGATAATTTCAAAAATTTAAGTGAAGACACGTAATTAAACACTAAACTAGTAGAATTTGTTGTTTGCTCTACAATTTACATATTTGAAAACTATAACTATTATATTACATTAATTAACAATTGAAATATTTAAAAGGCATTTGAAAATATTACAATAAAAATAATTAATTTGACTTTCTTAATTTGAATGATACCACATAAATTTTGATACATGTTGAAAGTATACATTATTTGACTACCATATATATTGAATTTGTAATGTTACTATTATATATGTTTGACGATAATGTAATTTTGAACTAATATCAATATAGCATATCTCCTATATAATAGATTAAAATACACCGTTTAACAAATTAAAGATCAAAATATGTTGATTCATTTATAATTAGGACAAAATTTGAATTTATCAATACTTGAGGGATCTAAAATACTACAACCATCTCCTCATGACCAATTCCTTATTATTATTAGGTGTAATAAGACAAGGTGATGGGAAGTGGAAACCACTTACTACTTCAAGTGATGATTTTTCAAATGTCTTTTATTACTATATACTTTATTTATATATATTATATATTACTACGTCAAGCCAATATTCGGGCAGCCATCTAGAAACTTTCTTTTTGACATTTATTTTGTTTTAAAAATCATTTCTCGAATCAATAAATCCCAATTCTGAGTCATGCAATGGGTTTAGGTACGGTGTGCTTGGCATGCAGTGATAAGAGTCACAATTTTAACTATTATATGTATAAAAAAAATTATTAGATATAAATAATGTAATTTTCGCACGGTCCTATCTAACCCTGTTCCTATTATCACGAAGAAATATATTTCTTAAAAATTAATTCATATTTTTATGTTTGAATCAATACGAAAGCAACTCAAATCGGAAAAATGATTTTTCTTCCGAGGATAATATGTTATATACTGAAAGTAGATTTTTCATTTAGATTTTTCATTTAATCTTTGTCTTTTTATTATTTTATTATAATATGTTAAATGCTGAAGTAGACTTTCCATTTAATCTTCATCTTTTTATTATTTTATTTTATTATTATAAGAAGTGGAGTGGAGTTGTGCTGAAGCAAATACCACTTGGTTGACATTTTTGATTGTTCCCAAGGACAGTTTGGTCATTTTGTTGACATTTCTGGTTGCTCCCAAGGATAGTTTGGTCATTTCGTTGACATTTGGTTGCTCCAAGGACAGTTTGGTCATTTCGTGTGTAGCTGTATAGATGACTTTGCTAAAAATATGGATCCCACGTCAATTATACGTGCTGTGCATTATTGCATTTGCGACGGCTTTTGTTGACATGTTCTATCGTGAGGCCAATTTCATCATTTATCAAATTGTATTTTAATCATAATCTATTTAATCAAATACCACTTTAATTAAATATTTTTCATTGACATCCTTGCTTACAGCGAGGACAATAAATAAATTAATAAAAACATATTGGCTCGAGCTCGTGCATAGCACGGGATTCTTCTCATCGGTCCTTTAGAGTTGCCCAATAATATTATGAGATAACAAACACCATAATCAAACGTAATCTCATAAATTGAGTCCAAAAAAAATATATATATATTCATAATATTTACGGAGATTTTCCTCATAACTAAGTAAAATACGAAGTTATTTTCAATAAACTGGCAACTCAAGCGAAACATATCGAAGAAGATATAAAAGGGAGAAAAACACATAGAGCGAAATTAAAAGAGTGTAAAGAAAAGAGATTTTTTTTTTGAGATTATATAAAATAAACATTGTATTCCACAAATGGAAATAGAAGAGTTTACAATTAACAACTAGCTAGTAATACAATTCATCATGGCTATAAAGATTAATTTAGCCTGAGATTGTGAAATTTACCCTCTATTTCCCCTTAAACCAAAAAAAAGGAGAGCAACTTTAATTATTTATCATCTCCATTATCTTGGCCTAATTCAGCTCTATCATCTTCTTTAATAGTCTCTAATTTTGGAGAATGTGAATTTTTTTTGTGGAAAAACAAAAAGAGAAGGAGCAACCTCAATCCAAGGCTTCAAATTCACCATCTTCTTCTCCATTATTGTTAGTATACAAAACAAATGCAGACTCTTTCTCCTTAGATTATTATTATAAGACACAAGAGACTTTGAGGAATAATATACCAAATTGTTTGGAGGTTATTGTTTTTTTTATATAGGAAGAGGAAGTTGAAAATATCAAGAACTAGAGAACACGTGTACGGTGTTAAGGGATTCCACGTGTGTAGAATGCAATAAATAGAGAAAAGGCACCAAAGAAGGCATGTGGAAAAATATGAATTATTGTTTGGTGGAATGGCCACATCAGTTTGTTTGAAAGTGGGTGAGCTACTGACTATAGAAAATTTCCTCTTATATTTATCGACACGTATGTACTTCTAGAAATATCTTTTTTTTTTTGTGTTGTTGCACGCTTCATTTGTTAGGTTATATGTAGTATAAGTAAGTAAAATCATATTGCGTTAGCGATACTCTTTAAGTCAATAATATGTAAGGTGATCATTAATTTTATCATGGTTGGGGCTTCTCTAAACTTGATTGAACTTTTATATAATTGATAATTCACCTAACAATATTTAAATTTGTTTTGACAAATACGAATGTTGCTTTCAATCAATTTTTAAGCATAAAGTAGAAATTATAGCATTTTTCTAAATAGTTTGATTTATAGAAAAGACTGATTAAATAGGGAAAAGTCTGAAAATATAGACTCATTTGGATAGTTTAAGAGTATCACTGATGATATTGACAACACACCCCTCACGTTTATGTTGGGATATATACTATTAACCATGTGTTAAGAAATAATATTTATTATAGAATAAATATTTGCTCAATTTTAATAGATCATATATTCGTTTATGGTGTCTATTTACTTATATAGTAGATGATTTAGTGTGTAGAATTTTAGCTTATACACAGAGGATTAAATCATCGGTTCTTATAAGTATAAAGTTTTTTGTTCACAATCTAGGATGGAAATTGGACATGCCATCGGTACGATTGTAGCACAAGATTATAGGTAATTTATCTTGATTATGGAAACGGTATAGTTCCAACTTCTTGTGCTAGTGCATTTTGTATGTATTAAACGGGACCGAGTAGAGATAGTTGTTTTAGACTGACTGACAAAACATATTCTCTAAACTATTAAATGTACTTATATTCTTAATCCTGATATAACTATTATGATCTGTATATATTAATTATCGTTTTGATTTATTAAAAGGTGAGATTTTGAGATGGGTCAATATGCCTGGTAAGTTGGATGATAATAATATATATTGGTGAAATAATAAGTTAGTTGATGAAATCCATGTCTCATTATAGAGATTGATAGATATGCCTTTTTGAGAAACTTATAAGTTTTCATCGTGTCAAACCTTGCAAGTGGATTTATGAATCCGACACATGAAATAAGTTAAGTCGTGCTCTAAAGGAAATTAATCATTAAGTTAAATTCATCAGTAATTTAATTTATTGATCAGTATCTGAAATCTTAACATGGGGAACTAC